GGGGAAATGAGTGGACCCTGGTTTGCTAATGGAAGACGGTTGATCTTTTCCATTGACTTGAGAGAGTTCACAGAGTGTGATCTCAATGAGTGAGGCTAAACAGGAGTTTACCCTTTATAGGATAACATAGTTTTTGGATAACAGTATGTGGGGGTGTCCGTATTTTGGGGTCTCACTACCTCAGAAGACAGTCAATTTCTTCATCGGTGTCCTTGATAGAATGCAAACATTCCCATTGAATTATATCAAAGTGCAATACAGCACAGTAATGCACTGCAGTCTCAACAAGAACGGCATTGGCTCCATGATTAAATTGATAGTTGATTCTTGTTCAGGGGAATTAAGTGCCTATCTAATCACGCTTCAGGGCCCGAGATTAGAATTTGTTTGCCGTACAATACGACGACGAGAGAATTCCGTGAAATTTTGGTGAGCGTGCGACACCTACAATGTTATAAAATGACTCTGAAAGAAAGTCCTTCTTGCACATCACTCAGGTGTGCGACCCGAGGAAAATGAAGATTTCAAGCTATGTATGGAACAGTGTCTAGAACTCTAGATTAAGAACATCCCTGCATACAGGCTGGTATAGATCCAAAAATTACTGTACTGTGTACAGCATTGGGTTATTTTGTTGAGCACAGGTGTGGATTGCAGATGCATGTGAACACATGACAGGCCCTGGCTTATACAGTACTGTGCAGTACAGTGAGACCCCCACATGCAGACACCTTGACCTGCAGACAATTTGACATAGGGACACTTATTTTCCCTGAAAAAATTAATGAAAAAAGCCCAACATGAGGACACAGCTGACTCAACAAAGGGAAATTTTGTGATAAAATTGCAAATACATTTCAGGCCAAATTACAAGAAACAGATATTTCCAACCCTGAAATTGATGTAAGAAAAGTTCTNATTTTGTGATAAAATTGCAAATACATTTCAGGCCAAATTACAAGAAACAGATATTTCCAACCCTGAAATTGATGTAAGAAAAGTTCTTCAGCATTTCCCTCACCAATTTTCCATCCCTTTAGCTAATTTCAAAAAATTACCTCCAGCATAGAAGGACTTCCACATTTTTTCACTTGAATGTTATTTTTGTGGATATACCAACATTTCAATGTACAGTACAGAGATACACTATTCAATTCTCTAAATGTTCTTATTGAGTTGAAAATATATGCAGTAATTCAAATTCAATAAATAATTTTTAAATAAATAATTAATAAAATAAATAAAATAATTATAATAAATAATTAATAATAGTAATAAATAATACTGACTTTCAAATCTTCATCCAGTATCAGGACCTGTTGTTATTTCTCAACTGATTTCATATGCCATTAATGTCGTGCTGAGGCAAGGGGTGACATCTTCACACAAACATTTACTGCTGTTTCGATTGGATGGATCACTGGCCGTAAAGAAAGTGCACGTGCAATAACAGGAAATGAGCATTTTTGTAGCAAATGCTTGGATGCACTCCCCAGCACTGCTCTTGTACTACACATTGTTGTAGAAAAGGCATATTGTCCTTAAAAATGTATACCTTTTACACTGATGGGCGAGTCATCCTTTTTTTTTCAAAGCAAGCGAACAACAACGTCAACCCCACCGGAAAACGAAAGCATAACATCGACGTACATATTTTGATCACGGTGGGGTCTCAATTGAAAGACGCAGAAAGGATTATAATATACCTCCCAGACAGACTGAGACCATGTGTTGGATTGGAAGATCTGAGGGCTGGATATTTATGAAATTTTTAAATGACCTCGATTGGACATGCTTGGCAATCAAATTGGAAAAAGTTATCCAAAAGATGGAATGAAAATGATTTTCCCAACGTCAAAGCGCAGAAAATAACCAAGCAGAAGAAACCCCAGAGGATCAGCCCGTTTGACATGAAAAGGTGTCCAATAGCCGAAGAAAAAACGAGAACACGTACGTTTCGCTGTAATTTACTGCACATTGCTGTTATAAAAAATACTAGACCATAAAGAAGATAAGAATTTGTCTTTTTGGATATTAAACTAGGTCGATATGAAATTATTTATTTTGATGTACATGGGAGTCTCTGGCAATAGCTCAATTTTCTTCAAGAGATGCTGAAATTGTAACATATATTATTACATGTTCTTCTGGAATTTTGTTGGCATTTTTCATATGCTGATGGCATTTCCAAATGATGCGGCGGATTTTTTGAATTTTGCATTCAAAGTGTCCATATTGCACATATAATGTTATGTCATCCGTGTACGTCAGAGCACCTCAGTACAGTATTATACTGTACTACTCCGATAATTGTTTCTGTGTGATTGGAAATTCAGTCCACATGCACAGTGAAGTAACCCCTTGGTTAACAAACTCTTCGTTATGAGGAAAAATTCCTCAGTTAACAAACCTAATTTCAGTGAAGTAACCTTTTTCTGGGGAAAATCCCAGATTTGAAAATTAAAAATTTGATTTTGAGGCTGAAACTTATGGTACAATCTAAGTGCAAATAATTCACCTGTATGCAATGATATCAAAATTCTTCCTTCTGGCACTCCAATATACATATAAGCTTGTGCTTTAAAATTTGTTTCAGCTACAATATTTGTATTATGCTTTTTTGTGCTAGTTTTTGTAGCTGTTCAATTTTTAGAAAAGTCTATTTGAAATTTTCTTGCGGCATTGGGGAAAGAAATTTCATTTTCACCGGACGTTTATCCCACAGTGTGTGTTTCTCTGGATGACAGGCTTTTCAGCTTTGTTTTCATCCATGCTACTTCCATAAAACACTGTAAAAACATTCTGGGCTCATATAAGATGCAGCAAAGCCTTATTCTCATTATAGTTGATGAACTTAAATTTTTTGTATTCAATGTTCAATTGTCTTTTGGGTTCAGAGAGTTGATTGAATTCTTCCACAAATAAGTCTCTGGGAAAATCAAATTTGGAAACCAAACTTCTATCTGGAACCAAGTACATTTGGTAACAAAGGGTACACAGTACATAAACCGCTTTACAGACTGCAGTTGGGCTGTTGTGGGTGCAGTGTTCAGAACACTTCCTCTTTCCACTTCTTCTTTGGCACAAAGAATTGCATTCTAAAGCTTCAGTTGAGTGTTTGTGTGGTGTTTTTCACTTGTTCTGTCACAGAACAGTGCTTTTCACTGGTGGGAATGTGTGTTTGTGTTGGTTTTTTGGTTTTATTCCATATGTTCAGATACACATTCATTTGTATTGTGTGTTTTAATTGTATTTTATCTGCCTTAACTTCTCTGGTTTAAATCTGTCTCTGTTTTTGGTCTGAAAAAAGTGCATACAATATGCCAAACTCAAGTGGCAAAAAAAAAGAAAGCTCTTCACTTTTGAAGGGAAGAGAGTTATAATTGAGAGACTCCTTGATGTCGAGAGACAAATTTTCTGCATTTTGTGGTTGACCAGAACGTACAGAAAATTTGTCTTAGGGACACTTGAAACTAAAACCATTGCCCCAACATGTGCTGGACAATGTTTAGAGACATAGAAGCTTTGCCAACACTCCTAGAAAAACTTTAAAATTCTTCCTCCAAATACTTATATCTTCAGAAATTTTAATTATTGGAGCTATTCAAAAATAATTATAAATGACACTTTAAAATTATTCTAATTCATAAAAAACAGGCTAGTTTTGCAGTTATTGTTTTTTTTTAATCCTGTGTGCATGCAGCACAGCATAGAACAAGACTTAATCTTTGTTTCTTGAGCTCCTTCTGACTTAGAGGATAAGCCTCTAGATTGGGTTTCCTTTTGCACAATGATTTCACCATCAAGTTGAGAAAAATTTGTAGTCACCTCTTCACGGACTTCTCTCCAAATTATTGATGAAAAGGTCCGCCAATAAAATATTTTCTGGTTGAAGTCTATGGGAAGATCGGATCCAGCGTACGGAGCATACGGGTGCTCTAACATAGGGACAAATGTTCAAATACCACTATGTCGTACGAGGATAGGAGTCATGCATACCCCAATAAGAGTTTCCAAAGTTTGCGTGTTTGCAAAATTAAGGAGTCCAAATTCGACCGATTTGCTACTCAATACCATTTTCATGATGGTGATTCGGCATCTGGCTCCTCATCGTCCAGCTCGTGTGATTCGAATCTCATTCGGCAAACCATGCATTATTATACGCTGTTTGTGACATTCCTTGTTTCTCTACTTCGGCGTTGTGTGAGATGCACTCATTCCCTGGCTTTACGCAAAACAGTTGGCAGATAGTCAATTACAGCATTATGCTGCGTACGCAGTGTGTCACCGCTTGGTCTGAACAGGACTCGCTTTTTCTTTCATCAAATAACAACGTACCCCTTTTATGCCAAAACGTACCCATTAGCAGAAATATCATATACAGTAACTTTTTTGTCCGAGAATGTTCGTAGCAAATAAGAACTCGATCGAAGAGAAAGCCACGCGTGAATGAAGCCGACGACCGATCGCGGTATACTGGCATCAGCAGTCAGTGAACCTCGTTTCGTCACTGCCTCTTCTTGTCGCCCATGGCAGCAGGCACGCCGAAGAGTTTCCGCCCGAGGCACCGGAGGAAGCATCGGGTCACGAAATACGCGACGAGGAGGAAGCCGAGCAGAACGGCGCCCACGAAGAGCCACACGTCCAGCAGGTGGTACTGCCACCACGTGAGGTCCCTGGCGGCGGAGCGGAGATGCGCGGCGCCCTTGTGTCGGATCACGTACTCGGTCCAGTACACGGCCCGGTCCAGGGGCGTCTGTGGCTGGTCTCGCATGATGGCCGACCTTCGCTTCAAGTTCTCCCGGAAGCTGGAAATCCAGGGGGAGAAGGGGGTTTCATTGTTATTCCTCATGCTATCGTCTACTCGCATAATACAAGGGTTGTCACAGGTGGACGCCGCGACCTTTGAAATGACATTTCTCGAATAAGCTGATTGTTAAACTAATCATGACGTGATGTTCTGAGTCCGTGTGATGTTTTCAGGGTTTTAAAAATGTTCCTCAATTTGCAGCGCTATGATGAATCTTAACTTTCCAGCAGCCGTTACAACCAGTATTCTCCAGCACCCAGGTGACTGCATGGGTGCTAACAATTCAACAGGCCAGCTAAAAATCGAATACAGTACAGTAGTAATTTGTTGCCTCGCCCTTTGTCTTTTCTGCCTTTTAGATACTGTTATGGTTAAAAGAAAAATGAATCCTTCATCCAGCCTGACAAGAATTTGGTAGGACTTAAAAGTGAGAAAGGGCATTATTGAATACAGTGAGACCCCCAGATGCGGACATAATTGGTGCATCCAGAGTGCCCGCAAGTTGAATTGTCCCTAAGCCAAGTCTTGTTTTCCCATAGACTTACATTATATAATTTTTCATTGGAGTTCTATGGAACAAATATTCTTCAGAATTCCATGAAAAAAAAAGGTTTTTGCCCTTTGAATTTTAATCAGTCAATATTTTTTTCAACATAAAAGAACATTTGGAGCATTTAATAGTATACAGTTCATTGAATTGTTGGCATCTGTAAAAAAAAAATCCAAGTCACAAAAAGAGAAGGAAGTCCCTCTGTACTACAGGTAATTTTTTTCCATTATAGCTGAATTGATGGGAAGTGATAGGGAAAGTACCAAAGAATTTTTCTTACATAGATATTAGGGTTGGAAATACTGTACTTGTTTCTCGCAATTAAGCCTAATAAAAGTCAATTTTCCTAAAATTGCAATTGGCAATTTTATCACGCAAAGTCCTCATGTTGAATCAGTTTCCCTCTGTCGGGCCATTTTAATGATTTTGTTGTTGAAAAATAAATGTCCCTATGTTGAATCGCCCCCATGTCGAGGTGTCCGCATGTGCTGGGGGTCTCACGCTGTAGCATATGCATGCATCATGTACTGCGCGTTAGAGTTCACTGCTGCATGATTCGAGTTATCCAAAGAATCGTAGTGAACTGGGTAAGTACAGGACATTAGCATGCGCCCATCATCAGGGTACCTCGGTTCACTGAGCACCCGGAGAACGGCGTTGTAGATGCCCTCGGTGGTCAGCGAGCTCCACTCGAGCGTCAGTCCTGCTCCTTCGTTCTCCGTGCGCTTCATGTTGAGCATTTGGTCGGCCCCGATGGGAATGCCCACGACCGGGACCCCGTGATACGTGGCCTCTTGGGTGCTCAGGAGTCCTCCGTGCGTGATGAAGAGCTTGATGTCCTTGTGACCTTCATACAGTACGTGGGGCACCAGCAGAAGGACAGCAGGTTTCATATAAAACGTATCACCTTGTCTACCACATACACACAGGAGTACCTCGCGATATGATCTATTATCTCGCAAGAACTAAAAGGTCTTCAAAATGCAGTATAAACCGTAAATCTATCCCGTCATCATATGCAGTACAAGCATACTGTTCTGCGCAGTACTTTATATTTCATGCAGTCAAACATCGATAAGCCGCCACCATTTTTTGCGAGATTCGCGGCGGCATAACGGGTTTTGGCACTTTGAAGGGTGCATTATTGTTGCTTCAGGAAGAAAAAAAGGTGAAATACATTTGAAAATTGAGTACTGTGCAGGTTAATTGGAAGTAAAATTTGCATTGTCTTAGAAAACAATCAAAATGACCCTGGGATGTCTAAATTAGATCTAACAAATGTTCCCAGGAAGTGAATTATGTCATCGTCGCGTTTTGTGTTTTTTTTCGATTGCACGAAGACCTCTGACGGAAACTTGGATCTGGTCGGTGGTACAGAACTTGATTTGCAGGAGCATATTTGACTCGTCAATAATTTTCGCAGATTGTGTTTCGGCTGGGGTTCCTGATTACCTTATCATCAGATTTAAAAAAAATAAAAATTCGTGGTTACCGTGGTTGACGGGTTGTAGCTGGGGGCACGGGCATCTCATCCACCGGCTTATTGCAAGTCTTAAGCGGAAATTGGGAACAGACGAGAGACTAAGAACTCTTCCTTTCCATGACAAAAAAGAATTTGACTTTTTTCTAACCAGAAAGAAAACGCAGTTCCTCCCCTTTTTTTTTTACAAAGTTGACTCAAGTCATGAGCTCGAGTTTGATCTTCAAGTACTGCTGTATCATCATGGTATAATGGAATCACGAAAGAAAATGTCAATCTGATACACGACCAGGATACTTTTCGATGGGACGTTCATAGTGGTAGTTGTGAGTGATTTTCACCTGGTGCAGCAGCACTGCCCGAATGAACTGTTGTTTACCATCATCACGCGCCCAAGCAGTGAGAACATCTTCAATGCTCTTTCACGGTAAATCAGCAGTGTATGAACATGCACTATCGGCGTGCTCTGTATCGTACTTGTACATCAGTTTAACTCACGTACCCAAGAGATCTTGCTGAGGAAGCCACTTGGAGAGCTTGACGTGCTTGGGCAAATCATCCATGACTTCGGTCTCCCACTTCCAGAGAATGCGGTACTGCGGGAATCGAGCGAAGGCTTCCACGAACATCTTGCGGAACTTTTCCGGCATCATTTTCCCTTGCACTGCCGAGCCCAGGCTGAAGTAGATGAATCCGTTCGAGGACCCAGAAACCCAGTCCTCCAGTTCCTGTTGAACGAGAAAATGCCGCAAGAGTCAGTTCTGTGATGCAGTGCAGTACTCTTGAATTGGGTCACCGCATTCCGCCCTTTCTTTTTTTCAATGCGTCCAAGAAATAAAGAAAGATTTTCCATCGTGCGCATGCGAGCCTCGGTTCAGAATTTTCAAGTTCAAAAGATTAAACAGCTGGACTCGCGCTACAATGCAATTCAAGGGACGAGCAGAAAAAAAAATCTGCGTAGAGAGTATATTTCCTAGTAGAAAACCCCCATAACATGGGAAGAGAACCCCATTCTATGGGACCACGAAACAAAATTTTAGAAAGAGAAAATCATTGCAGAGGGAGTCCACTTGCGTATAAGGTTATTTCTGGTGTTGAAAGGGAACTGTGCTAATCTACTTTGGCACTGCAGTTCCCCAATGCGCCAAATACAGTACAGTGATTAAGAAAAAGGGACAATAAAATTTCCAGATGCAGATGAATTCCATCACCTGAATAAATCACAGCTGCTTCAATCAGCCCATTTTTTCTTTCAACTAATATTGGGTATACGCACGACAGGTGTATTCTGTGAGTATAGTATAGGTTCCCCTCAAATTGGTACACTAGCAATTTTCTCGCTTTCCTGTCTTCCATAATATAAAAAAAAAAAGAACTGAAAACATTGATATTTCCAGCAGGCTTCGGATGGTGCTGGGTCAAAGAACCGCGTGCATGCATCAGCGGAACCTTCCATATTTGTGTTCCGCTGTTGAATGCATCATTCTGTGTATACGTACAAGTAGAGCCTGTACACATACTTCGGGTATTCGTGGGGAACTTAATACTGTACTGTACTGTACGACAGCCTGCGAATGAGCGACAATTTTTGCTTCAACGGCTTCGCTGCAGTTCACTCCGACTAATGCAAAAATCGTCATCGTAATGCATTCGAATGATTTCCGCGAATGTCCGTTTCACTACAACAATCGTTTGCCAATCGTCTTATTCAAACAGGATACATTTGTTTTTTCAATCCCTGTGCTGACCGGAGTTTCGCCGCGTGTATATTCATTCACGCGAGAATAAAAGACTGTACGCCGTCAATTTCAACATGCAGAATCAACAAATTTCTTGCAACGTACTGTATCTGAGATACGTACAATTTTATGCCTCAAGACGGGATGCCAGAAAAAAATGGTTCAATCTGATTTTTAATAGCAACTACAGCGCTGTACAGCAGCAGAGTCTTCACCCAGCACACGGCTATTTGCAGATGCTCATCGAGCCGCACTTCAAATTCATGTAGTTCACGTGAAACCAATCTTGAAAGAAATACAGTACAGTATATGAGTGACTAACGCTATTCTCTTCGGAGAGGGAAGAAAAATAAACGCAAGGTGGAGAAATTGCCACCGGTAAATGATGGTTGGTTCCCCGTATACAGTTCCCATCGCTTTCTCATCCCTGCAAATTGCAGCCTCAGCTTGGAACTGAGTATATATATGCGTCAAACTTGCATACAAGCATGCTGTATGATATGAGGAAACCAAAAGTTCAGCTGGTAGAGGGCAAATTCTAGAATATGAGCTCATTTGAAAAATATGGGGATTTCGACATGGAGTAGCATTTTCCAAGACTCTAAAAGCTTTGAATGACGCAGAAATATATGCGCCATCCCGCAATTCGAGACCCTTAGAAATTCTCAGAGCCCGTCACAACGAAGACAATTTCTATACAATGCAGTATGCGTGCACAGTATTGTATCTATGCAGATGCCGTACCTGATGAATACGAATTCACCAGTCTCTATATAATGCAAAGTAGAGTACATACACTGTATACTGTATGTACAGTACTGTGCAGTATTTATGAGCACACAGTACCAGGTGCTGCATAGGATGAGTACAGTACGGTACTGTATAAGTATACGCGTATCATTTCTATTTTGTATAATAGACCTTCGGGAGCGGTTTGGAGGGCTTGCAATGCATCCCTCCTGCCTGCACCACGCCGGGCATGATGGGTTTGGCCAATTCCATGCCCGGAACCGTGTTGAGGATGAGCAGGGACGCGTTCCTCCGGAGCTCGGCGACTGTCGGAGTACCGGGCCCGTACTCGGCCAGGTTGACTTGGTCGACCAAGGCGTCCAGGGACCAGGACATGAAGAAATCCAACACCGTGGTCCCCAGGACGTTGACGAACCTCTGGAGGAACGTCATCCTGTCCGTGAAGGGGAAAACGGGGAATGGGACGAAGGACGGCGACAGGCGATTGCCGAAGGCGGTCGAGACCAGCGGGAACACGTCCGCCGGGCTGATGAAGGCGTAGGGGGCGCCAAGCTCCAGGGCCAGGGGCACCATGCAGTCGGTGAGGAACATGGACACTGTCGATGACCCAGACACACCAGCATATACGGCAATCCAATACCCACCATCCATGCGTCACTACAGTATACACTATATATTATACAGTAAAATCTTGTTACAACAAACTTCTGGGGCCTGATGGTTAAAGAACTTCGTTATAATGAAAAGTTTGATGTTTAGAGATGTTTGGTTTTGAACACAGTTCAGACTACAATTTTGTGTGAAATGGGCATTATCTACCTTGAATTGCGTCTGAAATAAATCATTCCAAACTTATCTTAATTAGTGTGGGCATTGTTGATGAAATAAGGTAAAACTTTTCAAATAAATAGTAATTCTCTTTAATTAATCATTTAAACCAGCCTTTGAATATAGAAATGTTGCTCTTCTTGAAAAATAAAATGAAACAAAGTTAAATTTGGTAGAAATACTGCACTTCCCTCTGAGTAATGCACACATCCACTCATACCATTCTGTCTGTTCTTGGATATAAAGATAATTTTTAATGTACTGTTGATTTCAAAGAAAGGTATACTGTACTTTCTAAAATGGAGCTGATTAATTAACAAGAAATGTTTGATTTTGTGCATTTTTGTAACACCAATAAGTTCTCTCTGCAGCTTTTTTTTTAAGAACTTGGCATGCTTTATGTTTAAAATATTTCCAAGTTTTCTGCCATTTATCAAAGAATTTGTTTGATCCCTATATGGCCTATGAACAGAATCATGGCAAATAATTTGTTATAATGAGATTATAGCCTAAATTAAGTTTGTTGACATGAGATTTTTACAACACTGTGCCTATGGGAAACTGCCAGGACCAATAGAAAAATTCATTGTAATGAAAAATTCTTTATAACAAGATTCGTTGTCATGAGATTTTACTGCATATATGTATATATACATCACTACTGTATATGTACTGTATAAATCTCCTCGATCATCCAGTCATCGTCGGTTCCAGTATAATGCGTGCGTGAATTTCACAGCAGTTTCACGTCACACAGCAGCAGCAAGGCTGCAATGTGCGGCTGCTGAATGCACACGCGTGACAATGTGAGTAATGGGGAACTACAAGGAAGTACAGGTACAGCCAAATTACCTGGATCTAAGCCTCCCCCATTGTTCCCGAGTCAGCTCGCTGGCAGTTGAATATGAAACCTCATAATATTAAAGGATGAATAAGCATTTGGGAATACCAAACTTGTGGATTTGTTAGGACGGTCTATGCTGGGTATAATATGCTGATCAGTTTTCTCTTTTCAGAAACGCTGCCATCATCCAGTTCCAGCAACTTTCTTGAAAGCTCATATACTGTGCAGTATTACATTGAGTGATGCTACATTCAACCCTGCTATAAGACAGTCCATATGGTAAGCCAACACCCTTGTAAACTGCCAAATTCATTTTGAAAACCAAATTTTCCTTGAGGATAATAGCATCGAAAATCAAATTCATACACTGTCTGCCAGAATTATTCAAAACTCGAATATACCGTACTTTCAAATTCACGCAGATATTAATACGTAGGGTTGGCAGTTTACAGGAGGTTGCTGTTGGTGGTTTATATTAAAAAAATGAAATGCAGCAATATGAAAATCAAGTTGTTGTCCGTAGACCGAGGTAAATAAAAATATCCGGTTAAAAATATATTCAATATATTCGCAAGTCACAAATATTTCAGTTATACAAACACACAAAAATGCACAAGATACGTAGATGTAAAGAGAG